AACTCTAAGGAATATTTCATATCCACGTTTTTATTTATTTGGTGAGTAGACATGTAGGCCTAACACATGCAGCCGGCTGTTCATTTTCGCGAAATTCATACAATTCATATACCTTTTTCTTTACACTCAAGTTTGATGATCTTGGCTAATTGATATGAATTAAATCAGAAAAATGCAAAACATAATCAATTCCACTAGTGGTCTCAGCCTTTTGGAGCCACTGTACATGATAAAGATCATTATTATATACAATTAAAACAACTAAAGGAGATGGGATCCTTCAACTTATTTGGATTACTTATACAATACTATCAACTGAGGATATCAAGTTAAATGTATCATAACTGTAGGGCCACTGTGCAACTCTATCTAAGAAAGCAGACATTCAAAGGACATTAAATCTGCCATACTATCTGCTGGTGGGATTGTCACGAAGACCTACATGTGTTACACACACTTCTTATAATGAGGGATCTTTTTAAGCAACATAAGCCATCCTCAAAACAATCTTTTCAAGTTCTAAGAGCCAGATGTGCCGGCCAAATGTTGTCTGAATGAAAGTGTCTATGCGTGTCTACACATACCCTTACAGTTGTGTGTACGTGTCTGTGAAAGCTCCCAAGACCCATTAGTGTGGGTTTTGTGGCCCTTGTCACAGACCACCCGGCTGTCTGTTTCACACTTAACCTACGGGGAGAAACTTGACTCCAGTTTAGCCTCCCAAAGAGGGTTTGAAAAGTGCTCTGGCCTCAGAGGTCCACTCCAACTGACCGACTACAGCAAACTGTCTGTAACCGGCCAGCCAATCATCACACAGACACACTAACACAGAGAGGGATTTAAACAGAGATGCATGAGAGGATGTATATGTGTGTTTATGAGATTCTGTGTTTGAAAATGGGTAGACAGAGATATTAAGGATAAACAGGATTTATTGTCAGGAAACAGAGCCATTTGTGTCCCATTTTACAACCCCCTTACATGATCTGCCCCTTCAAATTAAACTCCAAAGCAATTTCAGTTTTACAGGGTTGGTGCAAAACATGTTTAATTTAATGGGTAATTAATATTTTAATAGCCGATTAATATTATAAAATGTTCTACTATAATGTGATTAATTTCACACCAAAATTAAGTGATACTACCAGATTGCTCGGTTGTCTGTTTAAATGATTTGAATTCCAAACTGCAACAAAACTGAAATCAGGTAGTGCTTCAGGGTTAACAACAAATAACTTGGTAAGGCTGTAAACATATAGGGAGTAATAGTCTTTTGAAAACCCATATTTCTAATCTCATTATTAATTATTAAACTGAATATTGACATATTTCTATGGAGGGTTATAGCCTTGCCCTGGTACTTTTAGCCTGATGGAAAATATATTCTTTTATGCAGGACACAATGGGTGTGAATGGAAGGCGACTCATCCACACATTTACAGATAACGAGGGGTGTTCCTCAGGGGTCTGTTCTGGGGTTTCTACTTTTTATTATTATCTATATTAATTATCTTGGTTTTAATTCATTTCAATGCTGATGACACAGTGATTTATTGTAGTGCGCCCAAATTACATCAAGCTGTGTCTTTTACAGTCCGCTTTCGATGTTGTGCAACAAAGGCTTTTCTGTTTGAATTAGATTTTTTTTTTTTTAACCCTCTGGGGTCCTTCATTTCAGAGTCACACTCAGGACCTTCGGGTCCAAATGGGCCGGAAGGGTGGGATTAATATTTATTAAAAAAAAAATCATCTTTTTTTTTTTTACTTGTTTTTTTATAATATTTTTTCTTTTCTTTTTTGGTGTTTTGAGATAATTTCAAAAATAAAAATGATTTATAATTAATATTAATGCATGGCTATTTTTTTTTTTTTTTTTTAAAGCTGTATTTCATTTTAGAGTCAAGCCTAGGCCTCATGAAAGCAATTTTTGAAATGAGATGGATGCCATCTGGTGGACAAACTGAGCATTTTAAAAATTCAAAACCCATATGTAATCTGAATTTATTAGTGTGTATGTGTATAAAAGTGTGTTTGTGTGTGTGTGTGTGGATGTGTCTGTTTTGCACTCTTGATGTTTTATAGATTCACCCCTTCACTGTTGTGTGCTTTTTTTCTGGATCGTGGCTGATTTGTAGTTTGTACGCACAAAATAACTCTGTATTTTCACATTTTTGCCAATTTCCCATTCATTTCCTATGCGGGTCCATTTGGACCCGAAGGTCCTGAGTGTGACTATTTTTTTTTACAACCACTTAGACTATTCAAATCCTGTCCCCAATTTTTTGGGGTGTTCATATGCCAAGTACCAACAAAGTCACCAAATTTCGGACCATTCCGATAAAGCAATGATTAAAAAAAAATATATATTTAAATGCTTCGGGTCCATTTGGGCCGAAGGACCCCAGAGGGTTAAAGAAACAAGCAGCAAATCTATTATCAGTTAAAGTTACATTCAAGCGGCAGCATACAAGAATCTTGGTTTTGTATTTGATTCTTTTGAAATATGTTGGTCCTCATTATCAGACTGAAGCACCTGTTCATTTACAAATCTATTTTGGGTCTATCAGAACTCTTATATAAAAAAGAGATTTTTAATCTCAGAAAGTTTATAAAGGACAAATAAAATAAAAAATGTTTTGTTCATGCAATGGAAGTCAATGGGAACTGAAACTGCCGGTTTCGAAAATCACTGTGTCGCGTGTATAAATTATGAGAAAAGAAAAAATTTCTGGCACAATTAACACGATTTCCTGACAAAACAATTGAGTCAAAGAAAGACCAAAAAAATGAAAGAAGAAAGGAAGTAAGAAAGTGAAGAAGGATGTGATCAATCACTAACTGTTGAAGATAAGGAGAGTTTATATTGTTTGATGGAGTCTGGGATTAATTAGCAGAGCTCTCAGTGTGTGTGTGTGTGTGTGTGTGTGACACCAGTGCTTGGCCTTTCACAGCTCATTACTGTGTGTCCAATCAGTGCAGGCCAGTGTGACTGCTGTTTATTTATACACACAGCCAGCCATGGCAGCCATTTGGCAGTTTTCTCCACTGGGGAGCCTTAAACACTCCCACATTGAGCTGAATCTGCACTGACACATTTAGCCAACACAGGCCATACTAAGACTACCCCACCCCCCCACTTTTTTATTATTCTAAATTAGGCTACTGAAAATACAACTGAACACATGATGGTGTATAACACTAGGTGGGACACTCCAGGCTGGTATGCATATATTTCTGTCTTTTTTTAAAATAAATGAATACTTTTATTTAATAAGAATGCTTTGCATTGATCAAAAGTGACAGTAAAGGCCATTATAATGTTTCTATTTCAAATAAATGCATGCAGTTCTTTTGAACTTTTACTCATTAAAGAATCCTGAAAAAAATTTTTTATCACGGTTTCCACAAAAATATTAAAGTTTTCAACATTGATAATAATAATAAAAAAAATCTTGTGCACCAAATTGGCATATTAGAGATTTCTGAAGAAATGCAATGATGTTGAAAATTCAGCTTTGCCATCAGAGGAATTACATCTTGAAATATATTAAAATAAAACGTTATTTTAAATTGTAATTTTCCCATGTTGGTTTTACTGTATTTTTGATACAGCCTGGGTGAGCATAAAAGACAAAAAAATCTGACCCCAAACTTGGTTGATTGGTAGTGTACGTCCTAAGAATTTGGAAAAAATATTACAATCATGAATTTTAAAGGTTCAAATTATATTTGTTTTCTTTTCCCGCCACAAAATAACAATTAAGTGAAGTGAACTGTGAATAATTTCATGTTTAAATGCCCCTGGGTCTTCAAAAAAAAAATAAAAAAAAAATCCTTCACATTAAAAAAATGGCAATTCCAGATATTTCTTAATTCCTTTCCCTGATGAAAATGTTTCAAACAAAATATATTTTCTTGTGAATATTGGTTTAATTATTACTAATTCAATATATACTGCATGTTATTTCTGTTAAAGAGGTTTTTGCTTCATACTTTTTTTTAATGACCCAAAGGATAGAAACAGTACAAGAAAGTTGTGTTTAATTAATTTTTTAATTATTATTATTATAAACACTTTACACATTAGAGACAGGACAACGCCTCTCTCGTTGGTTTCCAGGTATGTTCAAATAGGAAATTCAGGGCACTTGGGGAAAAAATACAATGCAGAACACTGAGCTTACTATGAATGAACATTAATTTACATAGACAGCACAATATTAACAACATCCTCTGAAATGCAATGACTAATTTCTGATACAACCATGCGCCCATGTACAACACATACATACATCAAATAAATAAATCCCCAACAATCTGACAATCCCTTTAAACCAGCCCATATTCCTCATTATTCTGTCAACAAAACAATGTATTTACAAACCAAATATATTAACTTTAGTTTTTTTTCCTCACATGGAGGACATTTGATTCAATACAAGCTCTTGGAGACCCCACTCAGTGGTTGACATTCACCTTCACTGATCTACAGTCAAAGCGGAGGGTTATGATTGCCCTCTATTGGCTTGAAATGTAATTGCACAACAGTGTAAGTTGATGGTAAACAATGTGCATGCATACCATGCGTTAAAGACACAACACTGTACGACATCCAAACAACTGCAGCATCATACTTTTCTTTAACTGACTCTAATACAAAACACAAGCATTATCCACACAACACATCTACTGACAGGGAGCACAAACTTATGAGCGCTAACCCAGAGAGTCATGGGAGGATAACATCATGCTGACACAGGTTTGCTCGCTCTAAAATGGGAAGATCACTGCTTACTAAACGACTAAAGGCACTTTAAACAGGGGAAGAGACATAGTTCCAGTGTCCACGTGTGAGGATGTCACAAACACTATTAATACTCGATTTATCCATACAGGAAGAACACAAAACCAGAGAAGTGCAATAGATGGGAACATACGACAGGAACAGGCCCGGTACAGAATTTTGTAGAGCAGATGGATGAAGAAATATTGATATTAAAACATTGATTTTGTTGCCATTGATATATTGAAATACTGATATTGTTAGACTGTATTTTTGTTCATTATTTGTCATTGAACTTGCTGAAAGGACACTTTTAGTATACATAAAAGTAGCAGGAAAGATTTAAAGGAAAGAAACTAAGGGAATATTTTAACTGACTTGATCTGAGGATGTGTTTTGCGTCATATTCACATCACACAATATGAATTCCGTATAATACATGATGACAGATACTGTGTCTTATGATGCTTGAAAACTGTGAGCCATATTGCTATTCCAGTATAGGTGCATATTTTGACACATTGTTGCATTTTCATCAAAAATGAACCGTTTCCACACTGGAGCTGGACACTGAAGCATCATGGGATTTGGCTAATTTATGCCAACCATTTTAGTTGCATGATTTCTGTATTGGTGAGAATAGTAGGGTGATGATAGAGGCGAAACTGTGGAATACTGGTCATTAGAGATCATGGATGTGCTGATGTAGATGGTAGAGTTTAGAGGATTTTGGATATTCACTCTGTAGCCATCTGCTCAATGTGATCACACAGCAGCTTGTTTTGCTCTGAAAGGAGATAATAGAAAGTGTGAATCGTATTAATACATATATACCATTCAAAAGTTTGGCGTCAAGAATTTTTTCAGCAGTGATGCATTAAGGTACTTCATTTTAGACTCACACTCAGGACCTTCGGGTCAAAAATGACCCGGAGGGCGGCATTAAGATACATTTTATTTGAGTAAAATCAATGAAATATATTTTTGTTCAATAATATTTTTTCTTTTCTTTTTTGGTGTTTTGAGATAATTTTATGATTTATAATTAATATTTATGCAATAATTAAGACCCATTTTTTCCCATTGAATATAATAGAAAATTTATATATATATATATATATATATATATATATATATATATATATATATATATATAAAAAATTTTTTTTATTAAAGCTGTATTTCATTTTAGAGTCAAGTCTAGGCCTCATGAAAGCAATTTTTGAAATGAAATCGGAGCCATCTGGTGGGCACACTGAGCATTTTTATCACGCAATAGCACATTTTTACCACTAGTGGATATACAGCTCTCTGTAGAAACCTATGGTGGAAACACTCTAGTGATTTTTTCACATATTGTTTAATTTTTTTCAGGTTGTTGATTTGAATATATAATAACAGATTCTCAAAGACTATTTTTTGTCATTTAAAAAAAAAAAAAAAAAAAAAAAAAAATTTTTGGTTGGTTTAAAGCTCCAGTCCGTAACTTTAAGTTAAAAATAATCCAAAATAATTATATTAAAAAAAACTTATTCTGCCAGTGGTCAAAACTATCTGCTTGCCATAGCTAGATTCAAAACGGTTAGCTTGTAATAATGATTTTAATTCCAGTGGTACTGGTGGGTTTCCGCGGGAAATTCGAGCATGTCTTTGCGTCATTACGTCACACCCGTACACATAAAGAAGGAGTTTCGGCTAGCCGGCTATTCTGCGTGTGACGAGATGTTTAGATGTATAGGCTTTTCTTGCAGCACTTTACATAATTAAACTTATGGCATCCAGAAAGATCCAAACAACAATCAGTGTCAACTGGAGATTCAGCAGTTATAAAACCCAAAAGACTTCGTACTTCGGATTTAAAGTAACAACAGGTAGTTTTTTGCTCTCGGGCTCCCCCTACAGTTGGGAAACAGTATTGTCCTCTACTACTGTCGTAAACTCTGTCATCCTGCATGCACGTGCAATTGTTGACAACCAGGATAGCCCTGAACACTGTAGGAGGAGGTCACATGCAGGTGTTCTGCTTGCGTCGCGTGTGAAATGTCTTCATCCCAGGTACAGTGGCATATATTTCAGCATGTCATATGAATATAATTTCATGGGTTTTATTTTTTTTCTAACGACAAATGATCGCGATGCTCACGTTTACAAGCCAGCGTCATTATAGTAGCCTAGTCTATTGGTTACCGTTTTACTGGATCTATATGATACTTCAATGCAATGTTTGAGTGGTTGATAATAACCATATATCGTCAATATTATAATATCAAGCTACCATAAATGAATCTGCAAATTTTACAAATCGATTTGCATTATAGCTTGAGGCAAGACAAATAAACAAATATCACAGACATGTTAGGTATCCTAAAATATGATTTTATTAATAATCTTCCTCCTTTCTTTGTACATGTTGAGTAGACTACACTTTTTAGGTCAAACATTTGCTATTTGCATTTCATCGATTGCAAAGTTCAAATCAGAACGAGAATACTAGCGATAGCTAACCATCAAAAACTAGAATATCGTTTACTAGCTACCAGATTGATAATTCGCTACTACTCTAGCGAATTAGAGAGGTTAGAGAGAGGCATTCTTTTTTCGATGGGGGGTTCGATGCTCCCTGCACACGCAAGGTCTCTCGCTCGCTTTCTCTCTCTGCCGTCCGCGCGCGTTGGAGCACAGTCTCTGTCTCGCGTGCGCGCTCGCTCTAGATTCCGGGAGATTTGAACTAATTTGCGGTATAACTTGTCGATCACGAGTGGCTCAACAGGTAGATCTATAGATAAACTCATCTTTCAGGGATTTGACCGACTGGGTTGACAATTTAGCGTGAGAAACCGGGGGTGTGGCGTAAGTGTGAGCGTGTGAAACCAATCAAATGCGGGTGTCTCACGGCCAATGCGTGAGAGTTGGCAGCTCTGCAATGTTGATCCTCGTTCTGCCTTTAACGCGATCACTTTCTCTTTTTCTCTTTTTGCTTTGCTCCGATAAAACCTTTGCTTTCTTGTTTTTCTGTGCTGCTTCGGCCATGACTATAACATTTGGCTCGCAAGTCCGATTTTAAGGAAGTGGGGGTGGTGGTGGAAGTGACGTATATGCCGTAAAGCAGTCGAATTTTGTAGTTCTCTTTGTTCGCCGGTTACTACCCGAAACCCGAAGTTTAAAAGTACGATTAAAAACGCTACAGACCCCGTCAGGCTATGGCAGACGTGTCATTCAACCTATTGTAAGTCGATGTACCATCACAAGAGACTTGGAAATATATTATGAAGGTTGAAAAGTTACCTGTTGTTACTTTAAGGTGGCTAGAGAAAGAGAAAGAAACCGTCTCATGCGAACACAAGGATTTAAACATCGGCGGGGCTTTTGAAAAGTGCGTGAACTCCGTGTTTTGAAGGGGTTCAAAACGGAAGAAGAGACGGCTTTTTTTCTGCTGAACAAGTAAGACATTTCAATAGTTCAATCGTGTAACAGTACGTTTTCTTAATTCACACAGTTATGGAGTTTCCTTTGTTGTGCCTTTCTCGTTTTGCTATTATGGAGAATATGAATTCTGAACTATTAGTCTAGTTTAAATTTAACATTAGTCACGCAATGCTGATGTTGTTAACATGAACAATTTGAGAACAAAGTAGGCTATAATTTGCACAGTTGCTGTAAATCGCGTTGATTAAATCTAACGAAGCTTATCATGTCGAATGCTTTTCCCCCTTAGTTGGTCAGAACAAAAATGGATTTTACTTACTTGTTCAGAAGACATTTTCTTATGAAAATTCTTATGTTGGTCAAACTTTCAAAAAGTGAATCTGTGATTCTGTATGACAGTATCCACACAGTGCGGTGACTGACAGCAGCACTCGCCTCAAAGCACTGTGTTCATCCGCGCTGTTTCATGCCGATTTACAACCCACGTAAAGATAATAATTCCGCGAATCACTGCAGTTACAGATTTCGAACAGAGAGATGGCGACAAAGAGGAAAAAATACGGACTGCAGCTTTAAATGGTAATTTGAAGTGGCAGTTTTACTTTATAATACAGTCAAACCTGAACATTGCATTATAAAGAGAACAAATGGAAAACATTTTTGTCACCCATTGTTTTAAGAGATTCACCCCTTCACTGTTGTGTGCTTTTTTTCTGCATCCTGGCTGTTTTGTAGATTGTATGCACAAAAAAACCTCTGTATTTTCAAATTTTTGCCAATTTCCCATTCATTTCCTATGGGGGTCATTTTTGAACCAAAGGTCCTCCTGAGTGTGACTATTTTTTTTACGACCACTTAGACTTTTCAAATCCTGTCCCGAATTTTTTTGGGTGTTCATATACCAAGTACCAAAAAAGTCACCAAGTTTCAGACCATTCCGATGAAGCTACAATTTTTAACATTTTTAAAAAAAAACGCTTCGGGACATTTTTGTCCCGAAGTACCCCCAGAGGGTTAAATTGTGCCAGTAAATACACGTTTCTATTCTAAATTAATTATTTTCTTTTGAACTTTCTAATTATCAGAGAATCCTAAAATATATATATATATATCAATTTCCACGAAAATATTAAGCAGCATAACTGTTTTCAACATTGATAATAATAAGAAATGTTTCTTGAACACCAAAACAGCACATTAGAATGATTTCTGAAGGATCACGTGACACAGAAGACTGGAGTAATGATGCTGAAAATTCATATTTAACATCACAGGAATAAATTGCATTTTAAAATATATTAATATAGAAAACTTTTAAATCATAATAATATTATTTCACAATATTACTGTTTTTACTGTATTTTTGATCAAATAAATACAGCCTCGGTGAGCATAAGAGACACCCTTTAAAAACATTTAAAAATATCCCAAACATTTGAACAGTACTGTAATTAAGCTTACAAACTTAATACAATTTAATTATATTTAATTTGGAAAATTACACTACCTTCGTTCAGATTTCCAATGATTGCCTGCTTCTTCAGGAAGTCATTGCAAAGTTTCTTGCTCAGTCCAAATGCCACCATGTTATGAGTGAATGTCCTAGACAAACAGAACAAATATATATGAGCATATGAACATGTTGTTTTTGTCAATGTTGTATAAAATGAGACAAAAAACCATGTGACTCACCCCAGCTGACCGAAGGTGATGTTCTCATTAAATCTGGAGCTATCGTCTTTCTCTTCCTGGGTCATATGACACCACTTTTCTCTAAAAGGTACAAAAAACATGGAGGTCAAGGTCAGAGGTCAGTGATATTTGACCTTTTTTTCCTCTCATCAAGCACGAGAGACCATCAACAATAAATGTAGAAGTTCACTCAGAAACTTTTTAAACACATTCCAATGAATACTGGGAGGTTATAGAATTAAAAATGTGTAAAAACAATCATACAAAAGGACACATGTGTATTAGCCATACATTGGTGCTCATGCAAAATCCAACAAACATTTCAGAATAAGTATTAGTGAGCAGTCAGCTGTAGCCATGATTCACAATAAATCAAAACAAAAACAAGACAATAATTTAAATAATAAAGAGCATATGTGCAACACAGAACCACAGTATAATTCAGCTCACAAAAAGGAAAAAATGCTCAGGCAAACAAACCAATATGCATTTTTCTTCTATGTAAAAAATGTTCCTTTGTGGTTTGAGTTTAAGTCTCATTTTTTTTTTGCCTGTTTTATTGCCTGCCAGGTGAAAATTTTAAGTCTGAACACTTAGAAAGGCAATAGCACACCTCCCTTCAACAAGCCAAATGATTTGAGGAATCATTTATGTCAGTAGCACAAACGGTGTGGGACGAATTACATGCAATGCCAAAGTTTAATATCTACGGCTGGGGATCCGAACGAACCCCTAACAGCGAGTCTGAGCACTAGTAATAGTGATGCTTCTCTTACTGTAGCAAACGCTACTAATAATTCAAGCTGTTCTCGGTTAGCAGTTGACATTGCAGTGAATAGGAATATAATACACTCTGAATGCATGCAATGATACAGAAAATAACGCAGGGAAAGTCAAAAGAGGGGATCAGCGGTTCTCGACTGGTTCCAGAACATCGTAGACATCCATTTTACATTGGACATCAAGTGGTGACCCAAAAACAGTTCCAAAATTGTTTATCGTTCAACGTAAACAAAACTGTCCCCGGTTAAACATTGAAATGTATTAATATCATTGTTTTCAATGAGGGCATGTCATGCAAGCTGTCCATGCTGGCCAGATGAAGTTGATATACCGTGCCAAAATACTGTGTTAGATTGGATGCAAGGCTTTTGAAATCAACAACAAAAAGGCATTTTCTCTTCCTGTTTAAAAAAGAGCCTATTTATTTTACTATACTAACTGCATGAGTGTACTGTTGTTTTTCCCTGCTGTCAGAACAGATATGACACTCATATTTGTGTCACAATCCAGTAGTATTTAACTTTTAATAAGGTCCACTGTGTCGTTGAGAGCAAAGTTAAAGTTGTGCAAGACGACATGATAAAAAAGCCAAAGCATTATGTCAAGGCAAATGTGACACGAGTCAGTACTTTTTTGGTGGACCTCAAACACTGTGAAGTTTCCTTTGAGTACTGATGAAAATGTTATCAGAATGTTACACAGCTTCCTGGCTGGATGCTGCGCTGATAGATACTGCTTATTGTGAATATCTAGCTGAAATACGTCAAGGGTTCCACAAGGGTTCCTAATCTTTTGACCCACGAATTTCCCAGACGTGATTAGAATTACATTCAAAACAAAGTATTTCTAGTTGTTTTTAGTGGAGCATAACCAGAAAAAAAGTACAATATATAATTTTACATACGCTACCGTTCAAAAGTTTGAGGTCAGTAAGATTATTTTTAAGAAATTGTTTTATTCAGCAAAAACACATTAAATTGATCTAAAGTTACAGTATAGTTAGAGTAACAATACATATACATTAACACAAAAGACTTATACTTCAAATAAATGCTGTTCCTTTGAACTTTTAAAGAATCATGAAAAAAAAATGATCATGGTTTCCACAAAAATATTAAGCAGCACAACTGTTTTCAACGCTGATAATAATAATACATTTTTCTTGAGCAGCAAATCAGCATATTAGAATGATTTCTGAAGGATCACGTGACACTGAAGACTGGAGTATTGCTGAAAATTAAGCTTTAACGTCACAGGAATAAATTACATTTTAAAATATATTAACAATAGAAAACAATTGTTTTAAATTGTAATAATATTTTAATGTTTTACTGTATTTTTTGATCAAATAAATGCAGCCATGGTGAGCATAAGAGACTTCTTTTAAAAACATTTAAAAAATGCTACCGACCACAAAACCTTAAACGGTAATGTATAATAAATAACTATAAATTTATGTTTTGAAATTTTATCAATATTATTAGTTTTTATTCTTTTTTTAGGTCTGTAAATCACCGAAATTCTTTGATATTGCCAAGCTTTCCATGGCTGTTAGAACCCTGCGCATATTATACGTATATAAAACGCAGTTTCAATTCTGTCAGTGTATCATCCTTTTCCTAAACTCTCTCCACTTTCCCCTTCCTCTTTCACTCTCAGTTCATTCTAACTGATCTAACTTCCCCCCTCTCCTTTTTAATCCGCCTTTCCCGTCTAGCAGTGTCCAGGGCAGCAGACGGAATGAAGGACAGACCTTTCATCTTTCTCTTCCTCAGCCGTCCGCCTGCGCGAGGCAGCAAGGCACAGGGAGAAAAAGGGTTAAAGTCACATGCATAGAGAGAGAGAGCGAGAGAGAGAGAAAGAAAAGACAAGAGAGGATGATGAGCAGATGAGCAGTGTGGAAGAGTAAACCATAAGAGCACAGAGAGAGGCTGCAGGATCTAGACATCAGTACAAACACACTGTAACACTGTCACGCACCTCTAGCTAGTTTATTTCAACATCACTAACAATCTATCAAACACACTGTAAACTCTCAATCTCTCCCTCTGGCTTTAACAGACACACAAACAAACAAGCAGTCTAAACAAACACGCAATCTAACATGTGCTTTTGGTGCTGTGCAAAGTCTGTTTTGTTTAATAGCACGATATATTAGGAGAAAGAGAAGAAACGCACTATAGAAGTAATAAGAATGACATGGTTAAAACCCTGCACTCTCTCACCTCGTGGTGGGGGATCTTTTATTTCTCTCACAATGGACGGCATCAAAAAACGCTGCGTTCCAAAACCTCAAAGTGTGCCTTTTAAAAAATAGATACAAGCAGACCAACATTAGCATCTACAGTATATGTGACAAAGGATCTGACATTGTGTTAGCAAAGTTAGAATAACATTGTACATTAACACACCAGCCTCCTTTCCTGATAGGCTTCCATTGTCAGTTTTCGGTTTTGTTTTACAAACTTAAAATATTTTCTGCGGTAATGCGACATTCTGTCATTATTTTCATGCCCATTAAGTATTTCTCTGCCCAATTCCCATTACTGAAAGGCAAAAAAGGAATATCCTTTAATTGTAAAATACTTACTATTTGTTGCAGTAAATTTATTTAATGCTGATTTTTAATAATCTTATCACAATTGTAACAAAAATATTAAGCAGCAACACGGTTTTTGACTTTGACAATGATAAGAAATGTTTCTTGAGCACCAAATCAACGTATTAGAATGATTTCTGAAGGATCATGTGACACTGAAGACTGGAGTAATGATACTGAAAATTCAGCTTTGCCATCACAGGAATAAATTTACATTTTATATTTTAAAATCCCATAAATGAAAACATTTTAGGATAAGTTTTAAAGATTTAAAAGTAAAAATAAATTTTTTAAACAATGTCATTATTTTTTAAGACAATTAAGTATTTCTCTTCCCAATTTACTGTGACGCAAATATTTATATATTACTTAAATTTGAAAATATTTAAATATCATGGTACTTTTTCTTGTAGTAAATTTAATAAAATAATAATCAATAAAATAATAATCAATAATTTACAGTCACAAATAAAAAAAAATGACCCTCACGACTTTCTCATTACTGGTTTATTGTAATGAAAATAGCAATTGCATTTTTTTTTACATTACAGAGAATTCCCAATTACTTAAATTTTACAATGATAATAATAAAATGATACAAAATCCAATTTCTTTTTTTATTCTGGCATGAAATATGATTGGCAAATTCGTTGATTCTGATGAATATGTCTGAAACAATGTAACAGTAATTTTTGGTAGACACTGACAGTATGCCACAAACACAGTCAATAATTGCAATGAATTGTAAAAACCAAGAATATTCCTTTTAAATGCTGATTATGTGAAAGGATACATTTTAGACAACTTCAGCTGTTCGTTTCAGCATTTTTGCGGGGAAAGAAAGATTATTGACAACCTACCAAATGGGCTGCTGTTTCAGGTGCGTGTACAGGTAAATTTTCTCCTCTTCTTTTTTATCCGGGGAGAGAGGGGGAGAAACTACAGGGTACGCAAGCAGAGATAAGCACAGTTAATAACTCAAACACCTACATATGTCTACAGAGACAATCCCTGTGGGTTAAGCGTCTTGCTCAACAGCATACTAATGGTTGCCAATGAATCGTTTGGGTAACCGACCCAGATACTTAACCACTAAGTCTCACCACCACCATACATATAAAAAACCCTAAGTGAGATATCTAAATACTGGTAACGACACAACCACAGGTGAGAAGAGGGAATTAGAGAACAACACACAGTGATGGTACATGAACTACTGTACCTGGAGTTTTGGTTTTCTGTTCAACAGGCCTGTCTGAGTCTCTGAGGAGGACAGAAAAAGAACAGAATGAGTTTGTGGGCCGCAGAAGCTTGATTAATTAAAAGACAGAAAATCACTCACTCATTCTTTCGGCCCAAGGGTCCTCTCAGTTTGCTCTCCAGACCCCCAAAAAATCCTTTAACGTCAGACTTAGCGGAGGTGTTTTTAAGCATTCGCTCTGCGATATCCTTCTTCCCAGAGAGCCAGACCTTTCCACTGCGCAGGTACGAGTCGATCCCCCCGCTGGGCCTCTCCAACAGCTCTGTGGGAGACAGCTGGGACTTACCTGTCACACACATATATTCATTAGAAATTAAAGTGAAATTAATTAAAAAGGCACACTAGGCAGTCACACTCTGTGTACCTGTATATTAGGAGTAGAAATCTTTAGGCACCACAAGATTAGATTTCGATTTACAGATTTCGAGTCATGGTCTAATTCCAAAACGATTCTCAAATCAGTCAAATCTTTAGACATTACAAGTGTTGAATATAATGCATATAATGGATCTGTGTATACTTTTTTTAAATCAAGTAAATCACACAACTATTTAAAAGTTTGGGGTTGATGAGATTTTTTAAATGATTTTGAAAGAAGACTCTAATGCTCACCAATGCTGCATTTATTATGATAAAAAAATACAGTATAATTGTGAAATATTACTACAATTTAAAATAACAATTTTTCTATTTTAATACTTTTTAAAATGTAATTTATTTCTGTGATGGCAAAGCTGAATTTTCAGCAGTCATTTCAGTGTCACATGATACTTCAAAAATAATTCTGATTAGGTGCTCAAGAAACATTTCTTATTATTATCAATATTGAAAACAGTTAATATTTTTATGGAACCCATGATGCCTTTTTTCATGTTTCTTTGATGGATAGAAAAGAACAGCATTTGTTTTAAATAGAATCTTTTGCAACTTTATAAATGTCTTCACTGTCAATTTAATGCATTCTTGCTGAATAAAAATTACTGACCCAAACTTTTGAACTATAGTGTATATCCATGTTTCCACCCTCCCAAGTTTTTTGTGTTTAAAAAAAAATACATGAAAATGGCATTGTCCAATTTGCCGAAACAATAAGCGGCAGTGCCAGTAATGTCCGAGTCATACACCGTAACAGGAAGTCGGAGGAGGTCTGGATGTTTCTTTTTCAGATTACATTCCACACAGTATGATTAATATTAAAGGTCAAACTTACTTACCCATGTAGTAATATGTGAAGCACATGGTCATGAGGTGTTTGGCGGGAGCATAATCATCCACCTGGTGACATCTGTCAATCAATAAAATCTGGGTCACATGTGCGTCACACACATGCAAAAACACTGGCTGTGTCCGAAATCACCACCTATACCCTTAAATAAGCCACTATTTGAGGGGACAGCCATTTGTAGTGGCATCTGAAACCATACTGGACGTTATTGAGTGCACTCATTCAATCCCATAATGCACCGCAATAATGAGTGTACAACTGATGTACACTCAATGGCTAGAGAATACCCATAATGCACTGTGAGTGTTGTGCCGAATGAATTCCTGCAACTCGCCAGAAAAAGGCGACCGCAACTGAATCATCCATCCATCCATTTTCCAACCAGCTGGCCCTATGCGAGTACAGCGTAATATGATACCGGTATAAATTTCGATTTAATTGATTATTAAATTGTTTAATTAAGGTTTATACATGCTAGTTTCCATGACAGAGTCAAGATAAATGTTTTCATTACTACTGGAGCTGCCAGTTTGCCAAGTTTCAAATGATTATTAAACAGCAAGCACAAACAACGCAAAAGCGGCAGCCCTTCCGCCTCATTCAGTGTCCGAATTCACTCACTCATTTTCATTCACTCCTTCAAGGCGACTATATTAGTGGAGTACTGTAGGGGAATAGTGAATGAGGGTATAGGGGGCGACTTCGAACACAGAAACTGACTCGCCAGGAGTTCTCCAGAAAACTGAAGCAGCTCTCAGACGGTTTGGAGTGGCTTCCATGTAATGTCAAACATAAACCTTAGATATTATCGCTGTACTTACTCAAACAAAACAACAGCGAATGACTGCACCAGCCTGTAGAAAGTCTGTTCGCTCACACATTTGGAGTGGCAGCGCTGCAAACACAACGCACGGTTATCATCACAACAGTGTTTGTTTATGCATATGTATATTATTGCATGAGTTTTCTTGATCTTTCAGAAAGACTGTGTGATCTGTACATTGAGTCTATATGGACTGTGCTTGACGTTTATAGAGATATTGTGCATATTAGGAAAATGATGGCCGATATTTATTTTCAGATAACCAATAAACGGGCAATTATTTAAATAAAAGATTATTATAGTCTAAATAAATAAAATCAATGAAAAACCTAAAATGAATAATTTTAAAAGCAACAAATAAATTTAGGCATCACAAAAATGGATATTCAATTTAAGGTCTGTTACATTTAAGTTACATACAGTTTTGTGTTATTAAAGATTAATTTTAATATTGGCTGATGATAACCATTATGGTAATGCAATTGTGCATCCCTACTACGTTTTGGTCATTTTAACAGCCATGTAGTCAAGCCATTTTTACCACATTTCTCAAACAATGGGTGTGTAGTTCACACCATTATTGTGTTGCTTCATAAAATCCTATTTTGCTGAAAAATGTGTTGCTAAATAGGTTTGCAGTGCATTTGCAACATATTTTTTGCTATGTTTAGTATGATACAGCAAGAATAGGCTCTTTAGTCCGTTTTTTTGAGACAGTGCTACAGCACTCACACATAAGGTGTAAACAACGATGTACTAAAAACAGAAACGTTTTTCATTTTTATGTTTGTTTTTCAACACATTATTTATATTTTATTTTATTTCAGCTTTATTTTAATTATTGAAAAGGATTTTGAATAGTTTTAGGTTTACCTCTGGTGCAGAATGTGTGAAACAGGTCTAAACCATCCCCTAAAATGTCACCATAATCAATCCCAAAATTAAAAATGAATTTAGAAAAGAAGTCATGCAATGATTACTTTCATGATTAATTACAGTTGCGCCTCTCATACCTGTGCACTGACATATTTGGCGAACCACTCCCTGCCTTTCCCGTTCTCTCCAGTGCACAGCTCTCCAAAGTGAGCCTTCTCCTCCTGATCAAAGTCCTCCCTGAGAGAGGGGAAAAGAATAAAAGGAACCAGTGGGAGGAAGAGAAAGGCAAATGGGTAGGGAGAGCGAGAGAGTACTTGAAACAACAGGAACAAACGCATACACATGCATCAGTTGAAACTAGACTATAATTCACTGTGAAGTTAAACCTGTATGACTTCCTTACTTCCGTGGAGAACAAAAGTAGATTTTCAATACAACAAAAGTACACCGTGACAAGTGGCTGTCAAGCTCCAAAAAAGCCCCATAAAAGCAGTCTCATACACTATATTTTAAGCCTTCTAAAGCTAAACAATAGCTTTGACGGAGGAAAAGACTAAAATTTAAGAGCGTCTTATGAGTGGTGTTTTTTCTGATCTGGTGTGAATGAGATTTGCTGAAACTGCAGAAATTTTCAGTAGATAAAAACGTACATTTGGCCTGTTCGTCACAAAATTATCTTGTGGCCTCAGATAACTTAGGATATAGCAAGGCACGCAAGTACTTTTATGGTGCTTTTTTTTTTGTACTTTCTGGAGTTTGAAATCCACTGGTCACTGTAGTTATAATGAAAATAGTGGCATGAACATTCTGTGAAACATCTCTTTTTCTGTTCTTGGTATGAAGCATGTCTTTAAGCTTTAGTTTGTGAAGCAAATCACCTTCCATGGAAAAGCTTTGCCACATAGGTTTTCATGAATCCTCGTATCTCCGTCTCCTCCGCGTCCTCAGTACTGTGACTGGAGCAAGACGAGGACCGCCGCGTGCTCGACGGGTGTGATGGCGATTCTGTGCCCTCGTTCTCACTGTCGGCAGATTCGGTGGCATCACTATCGTCTTCTCTGTGGGACGTGTGTGTGGGGGCCATGGGCTCTGGAAGAAGGGGCTCCATGGTGACGTCGCTCGCAGGCTCAGGGACGAGAGGCTCGGATGAGAAAAAGTCCGCCCCACTGGAGGGAACGAGAACAGAGGGCGCTGTCCCTTCTGGGGGCGAGTCAAATTCTATGAGGTTGTTCACCACGGCCCCCTCCATGCTTTGTTATGGGGGTAATTCAGTCAGTCACTAGGTGAGATATGATGATGTCAGCTCAAAAACCCACAGATGGTACAGTCGTTTGTAGCTCCACAATTTCGTCACAGCAGGACCTAAAAAAATAACAATTTTAATGTTATAAACAAATAAAAAACTATTAAATCTATTACATTTCTTACAACTATATATATATATATATATATATATATATATACACACACACACAGGCTATTCAAAAGTTTGGGGTTTGCAAGATGTATGCTCTCCAAGGCTGCATGTATTTAATCAAAAATAAAAGCAGGATTTTGTGAAATATTATTACAATTTAAAGCAACTGAAATATTTTAGTGACATCTATTCCTGTGATGCAAAGCTGAATTTTCAGCATCATTACTCCAGTCTTCAGTGTCACATGATCCTCAAGAAATCATTATAATACGCTGATTTGGTGCTCAAGAAACATTTATATTTATTATCAATGAGGAAAATATTTAAATATTTTATCATAATTATTATTTTTTTAATAACAAATAGAATACAAAGTTCAAAAGAACAGGATTCATTTGAAATTAAAATTAAAATCTTTTGTAACATTATATAGGTCTTTATAACTTTTTAGCAATTTAATGCATCCCTGCAGAATAAAAGTTTTTTTTAAAAACTTACTGACACTAATCTTTTGAACAGCAGTGTATTTTATATTTGAATGTTTTTTTTATTTATTATATATAATTACATTATAAAAATACATACTAATATATATATGTATATATAATACATAAATAAATAATGTAAAAATATAAATATATATAAAAATTCAACTATTCAAAACATTTTCATGAAGTGTAACATGACGGTACGGGTACTTTAACATCCTCTTCAGTCATAAACTTCCTTGCAGCTGTGTTTATACAGACTGACCACAGCATGAGGCAACGCTGAGTCTGTCAGATCCTGTTAATATGATGTTAGATTATGAAATCCAATGCACAGAATCTCAGTGCAAACTCATGTGTTTCCATGTCCTGCTAATGTCTTTCACTCTCAGAAATATTCTCATGCAGACCAGTATATAAAAGATGCCCCATCAAATATGGTAATGCTTATTGTTTTGATATCATGGATAAAATTGAATGTACACAAGTACTTAATCTTGCCTCTGTGAAAATACCATCTGCTTCTCATACAACTGAAGACGAGTGACTGCCCCAACAGACGCTAATAGTTAGTGTTAAATTCAACGTGAATTGCCAATTGCAAACCACTCCTTAGCATGACATATTTCAGAATGAAACCAGATATAGGAAAAAAAAAAACTCCATTAGGAAGAGATTGGATCATGAATAGTAGTTATTTGGCCATTGGATAACATTATCCAGTGATAACCAGTGTGAACCAGCCTTAAGATGCAGTGGACCTTGCAACCATAGCTTTTCTAAACAGTGGCTTCAGGAAGTCAAAGTGAATGAAAACTGAATGAATTCTGCATAGAAGAGCAATCAATATATGCTATATACCCGCATTATTTTTACAAGGCCAGAAACTACATTCCGTTAGGTTTTGGAAAAAACCCTGAGAAAAGCAATAGCACTGAGAGGATTGGTTATGTAATGCAGAGCTGGAGGAGCGTGACTTGGCTGGCATTCGCGCTCACAAGTGCACACAAACACAACCACACAGTGACCAGAGTCAGAGACTGTGTTAACTGCGCCTGCTTTTTTTTTTTCACACTTATCTTTAAGAGGCACAAGGCGGAAAATAAACTGCATGTTGGCGTGAGCAGTATGAAGAAAACCTTATACCACAGTAAAGGTATATAATAGGCTATATCACAAAATATTTTAATTCTTCAAAAAATTCTTTATTTATTTCAAAAGCATGTGGTAGTTGGTAATCTAGCGAATTAAATACTAATACAAACCAATTTCTTTATAAAAAAAAAAGCCACCAAATGTAAAAATAATAAGAAAAATAAATACTGTACAATCACAATCCCTTAACTTACACGCTTCACGCAAGCATCTAGTGATTTTTTTTTTGGTTAAAGATTTGAGGCTTATATCTAAAGATACCAAACCTCTACACATTGCTGCTTCTCTTGAGCTTTATAAATCTCAGCATTCGAGGGTAAATGCACATGCTGCGATATCCCTTCCTCCCTGCACTGGAGCACTCCCCCCTCTTTCTACTCCATCCATCCATCCATGCAACAAAACACCCCTTCATCACGAGCCTCGAGGCTCAACGTAGAGGTGCTGCTGTCAGAGTGATGGGACACAGATGAGTTGGAGTGGGGGAGTGAGTGGGTCCACTGGTTTAAGAGACTCAATGGGTTAGGGTTACCAAAGCACTGCAGGGATATCGCGATAGTCAGCAGTGCAGACAGAAAGATAATTACATGGGCGATAAATGTCTCAGAGATACTGGGTTGGCTTGTGGGCAAGGTCAAGTCGGTCCAAAAAAACCCCCTAGAAAACTAGTGAGCTAGAACAGTCAAGGCCCAGATGTTACATTGAACATCAAATGGTGACCAGTACCAGAATTTATCACACACAAGCAAACAAAAATGTTTGTAAAAGTAAACATTTAAATATATTAAATTCCATTCAATTTCAAAAATGGTCTAGCATTCCCAGGCATTTATATAATAATATGTATAAAAATAATAATCTAGGCCTAAGTATATTACATGTAACAATAATATTAATTAATTAATTATTATTATTACTACTACAGTACTACTAGTAGTAATAATCATAATAATTGATATCACAATTAATAATAATAATAATAAATCACACAAAACACATTGCTTTCAGCACAAACTAGGTTTATCCTCGACGCAAGAAAAGTGAACCCTATTTAATGTATATTCTGGGTTGCATTTGATTATTTTTCCCAGCAGAATTTTGTTCTTTTTCTTACAGGATGAGGGGGAAGTCAGACATTGCCTAATCTGGGTAGCTTCTACCAAGGAACAGTATTTTGGCATAGATTCATCTGTTGATTAGATCCATAACCTTTGACAACAAAAGTTTTGGATAAGCTGAAAAGTCTGTTTATTTTGCCATCATATCTACGCACGATTAGATTTTATTATTTGCATTTGGCATTGTTTTTTTTCCTGCTGTCCCTGCTATCAGATCTGACCTGTATTCAACCCTTTGAGAACCACTGAATTAGATCACTTGTTTATTGCATTGCAAGCTAAATGCAAATATAGAGAGACTGATTTAGATTACAAGCTGGTATAGAACCAAAGAGTAAAACTGTTGTAGGGAAGAAAACAATTATTAACCATGCAGGATAGTGAGTGATAAAAGTTACCAGAGAAAACCCCCAAAAAACAAAACAAAACTAAAAAGACAAGACTTCGTCTGGATTTGAACAACATTCAAAAGCTTGCAGAAATCGGTTTCAGGAGCAGAAGGCTGAAATAGCGGTCTCTGATGTGAAAATAAGGCCACAGAGAGGTTAATTTGAGGCGGTTTCATTTGCATCATTATGCAACATGTCCTGCTATTTCCTCAAGGGAAACCTCACTCATGTCTGTCACAGCATCAGATGCTGTGAACTTAAGACTGTCATTCACGCACAGAGCTTGATCATCTAGCCTAGTCGCTGACTGATCCTGCACCATCAGACATAAACAACGTCTAAATGAATCAATGCTTCTAACCAGAGAGCATCAGATTCAATAAAAGTCACATACAATTACCCTTTTACTGAGACACTGCACAGACCACACAGCACAGAATGAAAATTGCTTCTAAAAGTGAGCTTTTCATCAATGGCCTGCACTTGAATAGGACAAGAAAAACGATCCTCGGCTTGGCTGGAAACAAGAGCACTCTTATCTCCGGCCACTTGAGTTTAAAAATATGTAGTCATGTTCATAAGGCCTGCAGTCAAGCATGGATGCCAGGTTTATCTGACTAATGCTTAATGGCAGAGAGACACACTTATGGTCGTGACTTTAAAAATGGGAAGGGGGGGAAATGCAGGTAATGAAATTCCTAACACTTTGGCTGATATTTATTATTTCACAACGACACATCTTAGTAGATTCATCTAAGCATAGATCAACCACTAAAACAGACAGAGACTTTATTCACAGCACACAAAGCAATTCACAACACACTGAAATACTATAGTGTCATCATACCTGCTAATGTAATTCCAGACAGTAAGCGGAAATTGAAATCTTAATAAAGTGAGAAGGAACTAGATTCCATGCTGTTGCAAGAAATCGCATGGATTTCTCCATTGAAAACAATGGCACTTCTGCTCCAGTGCTTTAGACCTTTTCTTTTAGTTTAGTGTCTTAAAATAGCACCTGTCAAAATACCAGCTTATCAAAAGACAACTCACAGGCTTCATCAGAAACATTTCCTACAGTCATAACGGCCCTATTTTTAGCCTCCACAATAAGTGCCTATTTTCATTAGCACTAATTTAATATCTCAAAATGCATAGCATGCAGCTCTGGTTGCTTGAAACACTTATGAAATAAAATAAGCAGTCACGTATTGATCTGAAACAGTGGTTGTGAGAATCATTTGGGCATTATGGCACACACATTATAAAAATGCTGTCTGAATAGGCAGCTCACTAAGTCGACATAGCCATGTTCTTTAAGATCATCATTCATACTTTCTTCATACCAGCACAACTCAGTTTACTCGTGAAAAATGAAACCTCCACCACTCCACCTCCTTATTGTAAACAACACTGTGCAATCATATGGCACTTTCATGCGGAAAGGAAAGCGACATTTTCTTGAAGTAATTAGCCTACGAAGAGCAGTCTTGTTCATTCTGTTACTAATTGCATTTATATAACGGCTCGCGCGTATGTACACTGGTTTCTGCCTGCAACGTATGAATGAATATCAATAATGAAAAAATACAATTTTATTGTAACATCATGTTCATTGAGGCTACAAACTTGATCGTAAAGGCACGATGATGGACATATCACATATGTTCCGAATGTTAGCGTCAAGTCCCCTGATAAAGTCTTGTTAGTAGATGACACTTACCCTGGATGTTCCAGCTGGAGCTTCGTCTTCCCAGCGCGTACGATATACAGGCTGCTCTGAAATACTCTAAGTGCGCGCATGCGCGACAATCAGTAACGAATGGGGGAACCCAGTGACGTAGCCATGATGACACGTGACTGCACACTGCGCATTTTTTACAGTTCACGTTATATTGTCAGTTCAGCATTTTTGTGCGTGTATTTCAGAAAGCCTATATAGAAACTTTGGAGTGTCAGTCAAAAATGTGCATACACCTGCTCTTTCGTTATTTTTACATAAAAACGATTAAATAATTAATACGAAAACGCTTATACAATTAAAAATAAAATACAGTAAATCATAATATTACTACATTTATTAAGTGTATATATGTATATTATAAACATTAAAATGTAAAAAATGTGATATTTAATTTGTAAATAGTAATATAAATTTTACTTTATGATTAAGCAGTCTATCTTGACGTTTTTGTTACTTGATTTCATTATGTATGCATTTCACTAATGTATTGTTATAGCCTATTTCCATCTAAATGAAAGAACAGTTTTGTACATTCATTTTATTTTCACATTCAAACTATTACACACATCCATGAAGTATGCAATTTCTAACCATGTAGGATACTGATACTTTTTTTATGGTTGATACCAATATCCAGATTTGGGCTAGATTTGAGAAACATTGAAATGCTTGTAGAAATCTATATCAATTGCAAACGTTTTCTCTGGGAACAATTGCACTGCATGGAGACAAAATCATTTATGCACACTGTACTGCACTATGTTTATTGGTGTAAAAACAAATTAGGCTGTGTGGAGTGCAGCAAGTTTCTTAGGTAATTCAACAGTGAAAAAGAGCAGCTTGCCCATCTTCAGACCCTGTCCCTCAGTTTGCTGCAATCCTAGGTTCATGTATTTATTAGACTGGTCGTATACAGGCCAATTCACCAGATTGGGCCCATTTGGTGAGCTGTAGAAATAAAATATTAATTTAATGAACAAAGGATCATCAGTAACAGATCCTAATACTCTAATGTACTCACCCAGTACGAATGAAGTTAGCCCAGTATCTCATTACAGTTCTGCATAGTTGGTTTTCCTCCTCACTGAGTGCTCCTGTGGATGATGAAGAGTTGATATCCACAACCCCAATCGCACTTTATCATAACCATTTTCACTTTTGTTGCTATCATTTGCCGTTTCAAACCCCTGCCATAATACTTGTCCAATATAATAATAATAATAATAATAATAATAAACCTGGGCAAACAAGTTCTTAGATCTGCTTACCTTCAGTTTTGACATGGCCATCCCAAAAGCAGGCCCCAAACACAAATCCAACATCATCAGCATGGTCAGCCTTCACAAAGCTGGGTCTGATATCTTTAAATATACTGGGCCGGTGCTGAAACTCATACATATACACAGGGACTCCAGCATCTGTGAAGTTATAACATAGGGTGTTGGCTAATTATAAAGCCAACCAACAATGAAACGAAATTTTGCCAGTAACATTGCAACCAACCTCTGTGGTAAGACGCAACCGTGATGGAGGGTATCACAATAAAAACATCCCCCATCATCTCAGTAAATGCATCGCGAATGTCCTCAGGAGTTTTAGCATCTTTTAAGTATTCTTCTACAATGAATTCATTGACTCCTGATGTCTATGACGACAGAGAGAAAGCGATTTTACAGTCTTCTGAATGGTATTTTGTACTATGTCCACTAGAGTGAGACAAATACTAACAAATTAGCCAGACTGAGTTAATCCAAATAAATGCATTTGCATATTTTAGCTACAGGTAAATCACTAGAAATAATCTAAAAAGGAAGAATTTGTTGAGCTTTACACCAGCTTTGTTGACCATGTCCAAAATTGCTTTCACTGATTTTGTGTCCATCCCTTTAACCCATTCCTCTGAGACCAAGGTCTGAAATAATAATAATAAAAAAAATGAGCACATCCTGTTCAGCACCGTGTATTGTTTGTGTGTTTCCTATTTCATAATAGTCATAAAGGGTCATTGACCATTTGTTTCATTGCACTATTCCATACAAAAATATTATGATACTTACCTGAGCGAGCATCCATCCAAATTCATGGTTTGTTGTTCCAACAAGAATTGGAACTTTCTGAAAGTCTTTGCTCTTTAGTATCTCCTCTGCTGGAGCTTTGAGAAAGACCCCATCAACTGTCGCTCCAGGGAAAATGTGTTTCTAGGGAAATCACTTGGTCTAAGAAATTAATTAATTCTCTCTTCAATCTGTATATTTATGAAGTCTATCACTAATAGATCTTAGCAGGGTGAAATACTGGAAAGCATCTTCAAATTCTCTGCTCCTACCTTTTTAGTTGCATTTATGATCTGTTCCTCGGTCAGTTCTTTTATGCATTTGACCAGCACTTCAGAAGAGCTGAAGTCACACTCAGTAACATTTGCTACCACCTGGTCAAACAGATTACAGACAATCAGCTTTCTTCTAAACATTTAAAATATATAAATTATCCAACATAATGTAATTTCAATATGTATTTTCAACTGATCCAGTTAACAAAAATATATTCCAAGAACATATTGCTAATGTTCCCATTAAGTTATGAAAACGTTATTTCTCGATGTTCTCTGAATGTATGTAACGTTATGTGAACATTCCATCGTATCATTTTGAAACATTATGGAAATGTTAATTTTGAATGTTCTTTGAACGTTCTGAAAGAGTATCACTTAAAAAGAATTGGACAGACGAACAAAAATTCCATGACCAATATAAAGGCTATGTTTTTGTGCTAACGGTTTGAGAACATTATTAAAGACCAGATAACTTTGAACGAATATTGTATTAATGTTTGTTCATAACTTTTTTTGATGTATTTATGCATTGTTTACGTGTCTGAAACCAAATTGCCTTCAGGGAAATAAAAACAAACTAAACTGAACTGAACTTAACAAGGCTCAAACATTTTTTATATCTGACATAATTACAGATTCCCTTAAAGTGATAATTCACCCAAAAATGAAAATTCTGTCATCATTTACTCACTTGTTCCAAACCTTATGAGTTTCTTTCTTTTGCTGAACACAAAAGAAGATATTCTGAAGAATGTTGGTTACCAAACAGTTGATGGACCCTATTGACTCCCATAGTATTTTTCACCCCCATAGCCATAAGGCCCATCAACTGTTTGGTATATTCTTCAAAATATCGTCTTTTGTGTTCAGCAGAAGAAAGAAATTCATACAGGTTTGGAACAACTTGAGGGCGAGTAAGTGATGACAGGATTACATTTTTGGGTGAACTATCCCTTTAAGGAACTATTGAGCAGTAAACACTGATTGTTGTATTTAGGTTAAATACCTTGGCAAACATCAATGGGTGTTTGATGGAGTAACCCGTCGTGGTTGCTACTCCACTCTGAAAGATGGCTCTGTGAAACAGACCCTTGGTCATGGGTGACAATGTCTAAAAGTCCACAAGAATACATCTTTAGAATACATTTAACCCTTGCATTGAACTTTACAAAGAATCTATTGTTGGGTAATATCTTATATTGATTTAACAACTTGTCTTAACATTCACATTTCCAAGTGGGGCCCCGAGGAAGTAGCCTGGTCCTATAGACTCTTTTACATTCCATTTGTACTGAAGGAAAATCAAAATTGAGCGGAAGTACGTAGGAGGGCGGAGCCAGACTACCGAGGAAGCCCACAGGACCCCAAAGAACTTACTTACCATTTTATTCTGCTTTCTAAACACTGGTCAGAAATCATAAGATTAACAACAATATACCCAGCAGGTACATACTTAAAAATAGGCAACAGTGAACTGTGAAAGATAATGTTGCATTACAAAAATTGACTGACTAGAAAAGAGGCACTGATTCCTCCTGCAGACTCTCCTGCTATGGTGACAGACTGGGGGTCTCCTCCAAAACCCTCAATGTTTTGCTGCACCCACTGTAAAGCTGCAATCTGGTCTAGGAAGCCCCAGTTTCCTTGTGCAAGCTTATCACCTGTGCTAAAACCAGAAGCATTTGATTATAACCCACCCAGCAGAATCAGTGTCTTCAGTAAGCTTAAAAAAATCTTAAAGTCATTCTTAAAGAGACACTTTTATCCATAAATGAATACCTGAAGTATCCTAACATTCCAAGTCGGTACTGAATGACAACCACAACTATGTTCTCATAGGCCGCCAATGGGGATCCGTCATACATGGCAGCTCCGCTAAAGACCAGGGCTCCTCCATGAATCCAAACCATTACCTGTTGGTTTGCATACGTTAATTTTTTCAGAAGGGAATAGGAAAATTATAAATAAAGCATAAGAAAGTTCTACTGTGAAATCACAAGTCTAGATGAGAGTAGCCATAATTCAGTACTCACTGGATGTTTTTCTGATTCTAATCTTTGAGAAGGAGTGTAAACGTCAAGATACAAACAGTCTTCTGAGACTCCTGTGGTGGTGAAATTCAACTTCATGGCCTTTGCTACCAAAGGCACAATATCTGGGTTTTGAAGGCACCTACAATGCAGCAAGAGAAGATAATTGGCAGGGTAAAAGGAAATCTGAGCTGTGAAACGGTTTATATAACTTTAATATAGTGCAGCGGTCGGCAACCTATGACTCGCGGAGGGATAAACACAGAAGTGCGCACCTCCGGCTGCGTTAATGTGTTGTATGATCTGTTAGAATCTCACTGTTTAATAGTATTTATAGATCCTCCTAATTTAATAAATCAGGCTGTGTGACTATGAGGAAAAATTACCTTAAAAATGTACATCCGCACGCAAGTTCAGGGGATTTTATTTAAATGAAATACATACATATCTTTAGCTATTGTCATGTGCCTGTGATTATCCCTCCCCGTTTCAATGTTGACACGTGTCTTGTCGACCCCAGATATAGTGGTAAATAAGAAATTTTTATATAACTGTAGTCCATTACTGAATACAAATTACGTGATGAAAGTTGTATTTACTAACGTAGTCTATTACATTATACATTAAATCGGACTACTTTTAGATTACTTTTGATCTAACTCGTTTGTCACTTATATAGCCTAGTACAGATATATGGCATATCTGTTTTCAGTTATTGTTATGATGACTATATAGCAGTACTCACATGGGAGGGTGCTGAGTGGCATTTCTTATGCCTTCCCATCCCTGTACAGGATTAGGTGCAGCCAGGCGAAGAGGACCAACAGGTGGCTGTGCAAAAGGAATCCCCAAATATTGCTCCACCACCTTTTCGGAACCTTTAACCTTCATATATTGCCCACGGACACTGCCATGCTTCAGAATGACCACCGGCCCAGAGTCTGCACACACGCAAACAGAAATCTGACATAAACACACATTCTTTAATTTAGTTAAATAAATATTATTTCAATGTATAATTTCCAATTTTATTTAAAAAGCAATATAATAAGATGAAATACTTGCCTGTCTGTACAGGGGTTGTCCAAACAGGGGCCAGGGTCAAGCACAGGAAGAGCAAACCTGCTTTCATCATAGCTGTTCTTTTGTTAAATCCTCAAGCCTGACTCAAGCCTCTGGCTAATGAAGACCTCACAAAACAGGCTCAGTTACAAAATACTGCCCTTTAACCGGTTCCCCCCTAAAAACAAATCAACTGTTACCTGTGTACACACTGAACTGAGGAGAAAAAAAAAATCAATTCCCTGTAAATAATGACTAGTTAAGAATTTGTATGTCACAAACTTCCTGTTACGTTTACACGACAACGATATGCTTAAAACGGAGAAGTTTTTCCTTTGAGTTTTCCGCGTACAGGTGACACCTTTGTCAAAACGATCCCCATTCACACGGATCCACGAAAAAACAACAACCCTGTGTTCTGCTTCTGCTGCCAGGCCATTAGATGGCGATGAATAGACTGAACACGTAATACGCATTGCCATCATCTTCAGAGATTCCCGTTATTGTTGTTTACACAGAGACCGTTTTCAAAAACTTTGCTTTTTTAGGAACCCAAAACACCATTGTCGTGTAAACGAACGGCCAAAACGCATACAACGTTTTACGTTTTTAGTTGAAACCGGTGTCGTGCAAACAGCCCCTTACAAAGGCTTTATTATGGATATCTAGTTAGGCCTACCTGTTTTCATTTGTTCGAGTTTCCGCTCCTTGTTTGTTATAAGTCATCACCTGTTTCTCATTTGAGTTCAATCACCTTGTGAATTTAAGTTCCTCCTTTTCATTCAGTTATGTCTGGTATTGTTCTTGTGTTTGTGTGCAACATGACGTTACGTTGCCTTCCAGGTAGGCTACCTGAGTTTGTTTATTGAAACCTGTTTTTCATCATCTTCATCTGGACCAGATCGTGACAATGTCTCTCATGATGTGTTTGTTTTTGTTTGAATAAAGATGTCTAAAAATATTAAATGTATGAGTAAAGTGAACCAAACATATCAAATGAATCAACATATCAAAGAAAAGTCACATTGACACCTAATCAAACATTCACCCATATGGATAATTTACTTGCCACTACAGTAAATATTCTGTCAAAATCTTTATGCAGATAGTAAAAAAGTGTCAGAGGCTCAGATTCTTCACAGGTAAAGATTAATAAGTCTTATGCTGGTTTTATTGAACAAAGCTTCCAGGAAAGCTAAAAGCTGTTTCCAGTGACATTCTCTTAGTCGGTTTCTTTTTTCTCTTCTTTTTTTTCTAAACAGTTGTTTGACTAGCTTAACGGTCCAAGGTCTGGGTTGGTAACCTCTATGGTTAAAGACTGCAAGTTCAAGCTCGAGAGGCATTGGTCTACTACAGGGGAGGTATCGAGAGCTCATTCCTACTTAGGGATGAACTGGTTATGAAGTTTCCGTGAAAATCAAACCGATGGTATGGTGTAAATTTTAACCAGCCAAAGTGCATTCTAAAAATGTCAACATTTCAGTTAATAAGGTATCTAGAATTATTCAAGAAAACGGATAGAATACCTGTATCATTTGTCATTTTGACTCATCCCTTTTCTTAAAAATTGTTTAAAGGCTAAAATGTGAGGTTTATCTACCTTTCTTGTCAAAATGTATTTGAACATGTAATGCATGTTACGATGTAAGTCACTTAACCAACATTTTATGTTAATTTAAAATCCGTTCATTGTTGCTATTGTTATTAGTTTAATGTTTTTGCAAACCAGCAGTGCATAGTGCTATTTATTTTATTTGTTGGTTTGATTTCATTGTGTGCACCGTTACGAAAAACAAGTATAGGCCTACTTCAAGTTCATTTTATTAAGTAAATTATCGTACATTATGGTTTTTTTCCCCCCATTATTGATCGTACATCGTACAGAGGTCAAAATTATCGTACAAATACGATAATTATCGTACGTCTGGCAACACTGACCGGCGCCCTATACTGTACAGGAGTTAATCTGCGCTTCCTTCAGCCTGAGGCTTATTATTTCACCTTTGGTGTGAAAGGGTCTTTACATTTGCCCAAAAATAGAACTTTTTTGTTATAAAAATGTAACGCAAAAGTACTGAAACACATTACTTTTCCAAGAAAGTAACTAATTGACGCAATTAGTTACTTTTTAAGGGAGTAACGCAATATTGTAATGCACTACTTTCCCCAACACTGCTTTTGAGTATACTTTAAGTGTAACAGCAGGAAACTTTGAGCACACAACCACGTTTCTCATTTGTACTGCATCTGAACTACAAGTGAACTTATGAGTAAAGTAGTTTACTATTTTAATACTTGTAGCACATTTTTTAGTTTATAAAAGTACATGAAGTACACAAAGTTCTAGTTTAGGAGTTTTATTCTACAAGTAGGCTATACTTATACATACTCTTACATATAGTTTACTATTTATATATTATTTTTGCACTTTAAGTATACTATGTTCCTATTTAGTATAAAATATTGAAATATGTAGGTTTATAAGACAGGATGTAAAACTATGTAAAAAAAAGTGATTATAGGCTACTCAATCAGAAGGTTAAACAAGCCAAGTATACTTTGAATACTTAATTATACTTAAGTATATCTCGATCAAAAGATTGAGTACACGTACAGGCCGAATATACTAGACCTTTCTGTCAGTGTAAGTCAAGTATACTTAAGTTCAATTTTACTTTCTTATTTTTAGTTTACAAGTAGTATACTAATAGCACACTTGAATAAACATCTTTTTTGTAAGGGTATCAGTACTTTTTGAATATGTCCATCACATTTAACATCACCGTGATAACCATGATCATTTTGGTCACTAATGTGATATACAATTATTCTCTAGTCCTACTCCTCCATTCTAAAAAACAAAACAACAAGAAGTGATTACAAAATGACAAAGAAGGAAAAATGTGGCTGCAGCTTTTGAAAATACTCTTAATTGTCATGTTTTTTCAAAGCTACAATAAAACCAAAAGGAGGTTTTCATAACGATGCCATTTATATAAGAACCATATTATGCTGCCTTAAGAATCTTGAAGCAAACAATTCTTAAAATATTTTTTTCTTAGTGTGAAGAATACTGTATAATCTGAAGAATCTTTTTTCAATAAGCTATAAACAATGTTTTGAGCAAAAATTCATAGATATTAAACGGCCTTCGTGGAGTACACACTGTTTATTATTTTGTCAAATAATTCATTTTAAATAAATTTTTATTTTATTTGTCTTTATTTTGTCATTCTACATGACTGTCTTTTGTTGAGTGGGTTTGTAATGAATCTGCTGTGGACATGGCTACTTTACAGGAAAGTAAATTCGTTTATTTTCATTTCTAAATGTTTAATGTAAATGTAAATTCTAAATGTAAATGTAAAATGGTTTTAATTTGAGGTATGCATGGGTTTGACTATGTCCAGCATTCATTTATTGCTAACAATTTTTCTTAAAACCACTGTATATCCTTCTATAGAGGCAGAGCGCACTCTAGTGGCTTCATCTTGCTCGTCCTGATTTTCCATTCTTTGTTGTTCCTGGAACAGCACCCCTGTCCAAAAAAGTAATCCTAACCATATCCCTACCCCTGAACATAAACCTACCCATAAGTTATCCCTAAAACGAGAGGGAAATGATAGGTGAATAACACGGACGTAGAAGCACCTAACCCTGGTTGTAAGCCTAACTTGACATATCCTATACACTTGTCATTAAAATCTGATTGTTTGATTGGAATGTTGTTCCAGGATCAACAAAGAAGTGTTTGTGTTCAATGTCTCCTGCTTTAATTTATTATATGTCATCATTTATTGTCATTATTGTCAGTGTGGAATCCTTTTCTATGTCTTGATTTCATCATGTTTAATCATCAAAGACAAGATGAACAATGTTCCTCCATTATCAAGATTAACAAAACCAGCATTGATCTTATTGATAGCCTATTAATAGTCCTTATAACAAATCTTAATAAATCATGACACAACACAGAAATGCAGGGTCAGGGTGGTGTTTTTTTGTGGCTTGTAATTATGGTTGCTCCACAACTTTTAGGTTAGCTGTTGCATATGACACGGTTCATGTACTTGTCTTATGTTGGTCTGCGAGGAATGTGTCTATTAAGTCATCTCACTACAACCATGGTGGCCTCTACTGTGAAGGATAAGATACGTTTTTTTGTTGGTCACTAGATGGAAGCAGTGAGTTTTTGAGGAGGCCACAGTGTCAGCATATGTGCTGCCAGCACCATTCTCACTTTTTTGGTAATTATACCAGGAATGACAGCTATAATTGTATGACTTTTTGTATTTCAGTAACTACCACTGAACATTTGACATGGAAATTCTAGTCACGAAGTAGACAAGTAGAATGGAATAGTATTTTTGATCCCTGTGGGGGAATTGCAAAAGAAGGCAATAAACAATAAAAATAATCAAAAATATGAAGTGTTCAGATTATACAATAGACAAGGCAAAATAAAAAAAACCTAAATAAAAATAAAAATGAAATTTTAAGGCAAAATATGTATTATCTTAATCTAAGAAATTACAACAAAGGCATAATAATAACACTAATAATATAACAATGTTTTATTATTATTTAATATCATTATTGATAATAATATAAATTCAATAATAATATTATTCAATTTATGTTAATATATGTAATAGTAATACTTATATAATAATTAGTCATATTCATAATAATAATAATATCATGAATAGGCCTATATGAGCATAGCCTATATTTTATAATACTAACAATTTAAGAACAATATTTAATTTATTATAATATTTTTTATAAAAATTCAATAATATTATTATTACATTTGTTATAAAATATTTTATAAAAACATTATAAAAATATATTATAAAATATCTATTAGGCCTATATATTTTTTTATGAATAAAATAAATAAAAACAATGATGATAAATTGTTATAATAATAGAAGGAATTATTATGTATAATTATGATAGTATTATGAACAATATATTATAATAAATTCATCATCATTATTATTATGAATATATAATCGTTTATAGAAGTAATACACAATTATAATAATTACTGTTGTTATTAAAATGAGTAGTTGTAATAACTTTATTATATTTTGGATAGCCCATTTAAAATTTTCCGTACATGCTCTTTGCTCATAATAACTAAGAAA